CCCGCCACCGCTTGCCGAGGGCCGCCGCCGTGCGTCCCGAGCGGACTCCCATGCACACCAGGGGAAACCGCGAGCGTGAGCCCTGACGTCGCCCCCAAGCCCGTGCCGCCAAAAACCGCCGCGATCCGCCCGCGCCAGATCCGACGAGTCGTGGGAGAAGAGATCCCGCCACCGCCGCCGCCGACCGGGCTTTGCCCGGCGGCGGCGAGGAGGAAAGGTCGGGGGAGGGACGAGGACGCGGCGGCGCTAGGGTTCCCCCCGGTCGTCGCGCAGGGGCGACACCGGAGGAGTCGGGAGACGAAATAATCCCTTTTTATGGTCAAGAAAACTAAAAGAGCATGATTAACGGTTAATGGCCAGAAGATACACTAAAACAGAGTATATATTTTTATCTGAAACAGAAATTTTGACTGCTGTCAGGACCTGTTGCTTGTTGCATTTCAACCAAGTTGTTGATGCCTTGCCGCACATGGACAATTAATTAACAGCAAAGAACTCTTGTGCTGGAACTCATATATACTCAAAGCAAAACATCTAAGAAATGAGTGGTGTACAGATGGCCAAAACATCCCCTGCACAATTTCATACACAAGCAGCTAGTACCTAACAATAAGTTGATCTTTTTCATCTCGGAGGAATAGCTAGGAGGGGACAATAGCATGTTCTCTGAATTTTTTTTTGCGAGGGATGTTCTCTGATCTTTGCAAGAGGGGAGGGCTACAAAAGAGTGCGATAACTCAAACGGGATTAGGACGATCACCTCTGCTTCTTAGATTTCTTTGAGAGCTTTTACCCCCTTCATTGGATGAGCCCTCGATGGATTCATCAGGCACATCGCTCGGCACCTTGTACTTGGTGATGTACATGACTCGGAGCTGACAACGATTCCCATCCGAGAACTAGGGTGGCATTGGCTCTCGGTTCTAGACTTGTCGTAGCGTTCATCTGGCCGATCATCCGCAGCTGCACCTGATAAGAATATTCAAAGCAGAAATGACAAAACTGATGGGAAATCTACAAATTCATTTGCATCGTGCAATTCAACGAAAAGAATTATTTGTAGCAAAACTCTTCAACGGTGCAAAGCAGAATGCTAATGCTATGCTACTGCAATTCTGAAAACTAACCAGCTGTGTGGCATAAGGTTAATCGCCACGCCTTATAGGGAAAAAGGCAACCTAAGAAGGATTCTGAAACACAGAGGCAGTTATGGTCTAATGGGCTCTACGGCAGCAGAAAATCAACACGCCTTTCAGCAACGCAAAATCTAAGACGAATCCAGGCTGAAACAAACCACCAGAGTGGAACACTAACAGGGATTGTAATCTAGGTGCTGGCCACGACACACATCACTCATCATGTTGTCATTCACTTACTTATGTAGTATCATTGAAGACATCAGCCCAGAGGGAGAAAAAATAACAATTAGAATATGCATGCCCTATTGGGCTTGCAACTGTTAAAAACATACTTAGTGTCATCACTATATCATGTTCAGTTAACTCACACTCGGTCTTGGCCCACTACTGTAAGCCATGATGCACGACTTGTGTGCACGATTGGCATTTAATTGTTGAAGTAAAGCGCTATATGTACCCTTTGTACTAAATCAATACACAAAAACAGAGAGCATACTTTCAGTTATATACATAGGTTTTATATATCTCATGGCAAACTAAACCGCCTGCGACCACACCCTCCTAGGGCCTGTCGGGCCATCCTCCTCCTCCAAATCTCACGTCTACTAAACCCAATCATCTTAACTTTGCTAGTCTATTTGCTCTGCCTCCATTAGCTACACGATCACAAATGTACCCCCAATTATTTTCATATTTCTTGGCTTCATGATGCATAACTACTATCATTGGTGTCATCTCTTCATCGTCCACCTCGGGCGATTTAGTCTTCACGGCCACATCGATGTTTGCACTGCACCACTAAATTTAACGATCATGGGTGAGTGGAGGACGACTTAATTATTCTGGAGTGGATCTACACCCGAATCTCCTCGCGCTCTTACTCCTGCTGTGAAGGACGGTGCTCTAAGCAAAATTGTGGCACTTACTTCAGGACAATCGCAATTCCCGGCTCTAACAACTCGAGACGGAAATGTGCACTATTCATTAGTGGGATGCGCTTGTGGGGTAGTATTGTCAGTGCCGCAAGGAAATAGTGTACGAGCTCTCCGAACTCGGCAGCCCCATCATAAATCTCACTCTTTCTCGGCATCAGTGAGCAATTCGACCAGCACTCTTTCATGATTTTGGTGCTTTTTCCCCCGCCGTTTTTGAGATGTCCATATTATCGGTCGAAGAGGTGAATCTCACCTGCGAGGGTTATGGTCAATTTTGCGGTTGTGGATTATGGGTTAGGGTTCTTCTTATCGTGTGAATGGATTTTATTTGTAAAAAATAAGACACTAAAACAGACAGAGAAGATCTAATGATCAGTAACAACACAATTTAGGGGAGAATTGTGAGGTCGAGTTGTGAAGCAGACTTTAGGTTTAAAATAAAAATGAGGATCCCAACCGAGATAAAATAATAATATTTATACTAAACTCTTATATTTTTATATAACTAATTACAGTGTTATTTTTATACTTTTTTTAATATTGTCTATACAATTCTACTTCTAGCTTTGACAAATAAAGACAATGCTAATTTTAAAATTATATTCTGTAAAGAGAATTATTTCCCTTTTCGAAGTAATAAAACTAAAAATATTAAGCAAGCTTTCATTACATGTAGGGAAAAATTGTATGTCTTCATAAATTAATTTACGACACTTGGGTAATTTGTGTGTGTATTTATATATTTGGGTGGGTAGGGGGGTGTTTTATAATATTAGAAATCTGTAAAGCATCTGGTTTAACAACTTGGCATTTTCTAGTTTATGACTCTGTACAATCAA